TTGGCGACATTCTTTATTATTTGTCGCAACTTCTCACATTTCACGACAACTTTTTATGTCGCCAAAGGTTTTTTGGTACTTATTTTTCTCATCACAAACTTCGCGACAAACTCAAAAAATGTGTCGCGTTAAGTCATTTATTGCAACAACTTTTTGTATGTCGCGAAAAATTTTGTCGCGAAATCACAATTTTGTTGTAGTATTCAAATTTCAATACCTTAAGTCATATGCAAAGGCAAATAAAATCTTACATCTTATCACATTTGAATTCATATTGATATTTAAATTTTTAAAAGCATCTTGTATACGTCTCTTTAATTGTTCCAAAATAATTGACATGAGATACTCCGTGACTTTCATAAAAAAATGACAGAAAATTTCACTTTTAACTTTTCATGTTCATATTTATATTTTCACAAACACTTTGTAGTATCACTTGAATTGATCCAAAGTTGAATTTCTCATATATACTAACTCAACCCAATTAATACAAATCTGAATTTTCATATATGATGAATAAAAACCATTAATCTAAAGATGAAATTTCATATGTAATAGAACAAAAAACCTCAACAACATCTAATTCATAGTTATATATATATATATATATATATAAACAATTGAGTTCAACAATTTAAAAAGGTATATTATTATGCAGCAATTATCATGAGAGATTAACCAAAATATATTTCGATTATATTTTATTTGACTGAATAATCATGAAATATATTATGAATTTAGTATATAAAATAAAATATATTATTCAGTATTTATATTTTAGCCCCATGTTTATACTGATTTTTCAAAATGACCCTTAAATTAAAGGTATTTGCGTAAATGCCCTTCTAATTATATTACGCCTGTATATAAAAAATAATTTGTTTTCTAAATCTTATAGGGGATGGTCGACATAATAATAATCGAGTCAACTGTCACCACTAATTTTAGGTATAATAATATTATTTAGTACCACTTGTGTTATAGCATCAGTCTAAACGACACTAAGTGTTATTAAATGAAATGTGCAATTGAATGAATTATATAATTTTACGTTTAATTGAATATATCACATAATGTCACATCAGAAAAAAAAATTTGCCCTAGAACTTAAATTATCTAAATTTCTCGAAACGTAACACTAAGCGATTGTTTGGCACAACTTATGAAAATTATTTTTAATCACGTTCTATTAATAAAATATTTTTTTTACATGAACTCCTAATTTTTTCTTATTTTCTACTCACCTCCTCTTCGAATGGGGATGCTAGAGTCCAAAAAATAAGACCGACGGTGATGAGTACGGCCCCAGCGGGCTCGTCCTCTCTAGTCAAACACCAGAATTAGTCAAAGCAGCTCTGTATGCCTATGGCCCGCTCCCTGCAGTATATAAAGAGAAAAAGGTTGGCTGACATGGCACGACATGCCCACATCCACAAAATGAAAACTGTCCATCAAGGACAAATTTGTCTTTTCAAAACCTACTTAAATGTGTCTTAATTATTATTTATTTCTAGATTATGGTGCAAACCAAATGATTAAGGCACTTGCACTGTCCACAAAATCTTCATTCTCAGTGGAACTAGATTAGACTAGACTGATCTATTTTTATCTTCACGTGGTTTACCTTTTCAGATCTTTTACGCTTCGCTTTTTATAATTTTTATTTTCTTCCTTGAGTCTTGTTACACGGTGTAAACTGTAAAGGTGTAAGCCCCTCTTTGATTCGAATTAATTTTAATCAAATATTTCATGGAATTCATGACTTTTCAACCACACATTTCATTAATTTTAATTGAAATCTACTAAAAGTCTGATTTTAATTCATTCCAAACACGAGTTGAATATTTTATCGAGGATGTATAAAATGTTATGTTATGTCAACTTGAATTGGACCTACAATTCAACCTCTGTTTGAGCCCCATTTTGAAGATAAATATATTTTAGAATAGTGATTTTTTTTTTAAAATGTGTGGTCAAAAAAATAAGAAAGAGTTATCGATTTACGTTTAATATTATTTTATTGAAAAATGTCTGGTTAAAAATTAATTTTGAAAAAAAATGAATTTTTGTAAAAATGAGACTCAAGTAAGGGCTCAATTCTATTTGCATTTATGCTCAACCATTTTCATTGGTTGAGATAGTTTAAGAATAATTCTAGTTGTACATCAAAAAATGTACATAAGGGTGTACAATTAACTTTTTCATTCAATCATATCTTGTTAATACCAATTATGTCATTCTACTTGTCGCCTACTTTCTAACAAAGTAGTATAATTCATTTGACTTAACTTATAAATCGAAGTAGATGTACTATTCTATTTGTATGTTAGCATTTTTTTTTATACATAAAGGTATTACTTATTTCAAAAGGATTCTGCCACTTGTACATGAAAAGTACATTAGCGATTATCGAAAATGATGTGGAGAGAAAAATATGGATGAAAAAATTAATTGTATTTTAAACTAACAAATGATAGTGTTCTGTGACATTATGTAATCCATTATGTAAATTTTAATATACATGTAATAAGATTCATTTTAAAAATGGATTAATTTACTTGTACACATATTCTCCGTACCTTGTATTACACTCCCTTCCGTGTTAAAAATCTAATCATGTATTGAAAAATGTGATGTTAAAATTAATGCACCAAAATCTGTCAAATCAACAAGGTGTAAACTAATGTGTCAATTTTTATGTACATGTAGTATGATCCTTCAAAAATTGGGTGGTACGACGGCAATAATTTCTGCAGATACTAATAAGTACGGTTACGAGAGTTTACTTATAAGTAATTTTTTTTAAGTCAAAGCCAATACACATGGAAAGGATTCAACATAAAACTGAGCATGTCTTAGTTTTTCTTTCTCCTTTACCTCTGTTTAATCATCAACATATTTGATCAAAGATTCAGAACCGGATGAAAATAAAATGAAAGTTGGTTGATAGTATAATTAAAGATCTCCTTTCTTATTGTCTTGCCATGGCTAATGAGCCGAGCGAGTACAGAAAGGGGAACTGGACGGTTGAAGAAACCACGGTTCTTATAGAAGCTAAGAAAATGGATGACGAGAGACGATTAATGATTAGGCATGGTGGCGAAAGCAGTAGTTCTGGCAAACCAGGAAAATTAAGATGGAAACGTGTAGAAGATTACTGTTGGAAAAATGGGTGTTTGAGAAGCCAAAACCAGTGCAATGACAAGTGGGATAATTTGATGAGAGATTTCAAGAAAGTGAGAGAGCATCAGAGGAGAGTGGCAGGTGGTGGTGACGACGGAGGAGAGAAATCTTATTGGATGATGGACAAGAATGAGAGGAAGGAACACAGCTTGCCGTCAAATATGTTGCCTCAGATATTTGATGCACTGGTCGAGGTAGTGGAGAGGAAAGGTCCGGCGGTGATGGTGAGCGGTGGCGGCGGTGGTGGCGTGATTGTTCCGGCCGCTGCGGCTCAAACAATGCTTTTACCCCTCCAGCCACCGGCGCAACCACCTTCCAGCCCCTTTGCAGAGCCTTCGTTCCCAACAGTAGGTACTCTCTTTCACATTTTTTCTAGAAATAAAAATCTCCATTTTGAGGATTGTAAGTGACATTATTTTTGAGCTAATTAATTATAAATTGAATTATACTTCAGACTCTGATACGGGTGGGCATTCAGAATCGCCAGCCAAGAGAAGAAGAAGAAGAAGCCCAGAACGTGGAGGTGATGGTGGCGCCGGCGCCGTGGGTGGTAGCAGTTTGCAAGAAGTTTGCAGTGCAATTTCTCATAGTGGTTCCATTATAGCAGAAGCAATTCAGTCACGTGAAGAGAGAGAAGAGAGAAGACACATGGAAGTGTTGAGTTTGCATGAGAGAAGACTGCAAATTGAAGAGTCAAACGCTGAGATTAACAGGCAAGGCATTAATGGCCTAGTTGATGCCATTAACAAACTGGCAAATTCTATCCTTGCTTTGGCTTCCCACAAAAACCAACCAGATCCTAAATAATTATAATCATATTTAAATTATTATTTATATTTGTTAATTTGAGAATTAAATTATCCCATTTGTTTACTATATTTATTTCATGTTGGATTTAATTCTCTCGACTGGTTATGGCCAATGATAATGATTGTCGATGGAATTCATTTTTCGCTTGTACTTGTACTTGTTCATGGATTANTAATTCTCTCGACTGGTTATGGCCACTATGCTTGTCGATGGATTTCATTTTGTGTTTGTACTTGTACTTGTTCATGGATTAGATTTTAGCCATCTTTTGGTGCCATCGTGCTCAATTTCATATTAGTTGTAATTGACATACATGTTTTGTAGGGATTAAAATCAGATTTTTAGTAGATTTTGATAAAAATTAATGAAATATATGATTAAAAGTTGTGAATCTCACAAAATATGTGGTTTAAATTTATTGTTACTTTAATTTAGAATCTGTCTGTGGTCATTTTGGGCCAATTTTAA